CGAAAAAATTTGTTTACTTTGGAAATTTAAATATGAACCTAGAATTTTGGCATAGGCCTTGATTTAAAACCTTATTCTAAACCTAATATAAACCTGATCTAATGCTAACTTTAAAATCAACTTAATGCAGTATAGACCAATACTCGGCACAGATTTCTTATTGCAACGATAATATAGATTGTAGTCAACATTTCAATTCATTTATAAATCTCGCATCAGGATAGGTTTCGAAAATGTGGGTTAGAAGTAGGGTTGATAAGGTCCTTAGGTACGGGACCCTAGGACCTGGTCTTTTAAAGACCAAGTTCAAATTTCAGGACCTAAGTCCTTAGGTCTTTAAAAAGTCCTAATATACAAATTTATAATAAATAAAATTAATTATTATTTATATGTGTGCTGCAGAACGAAAACCTGTAACTGATTATAATGATTTACTATGATCAGTTACAGGTTTTTGCTTTGCAGCACTCATATAAAGTTGAAAGCCTGACGACAGCTTTCTCTTGATAGCACTTATATAATTTATAGTTTGAATATTGTTCGAATTATGTTTCGCAGTATTGTTTTGTAAATTTTAATTACCTGATTAAATACATATAACGGACTTAAGTTTCGGGACTAGGTCCTGGACTAAAGTTAACTTAGGTCCTAGCACTGGTTCGTAAAAACTTGGTTCGTAAATTCATGCAGTAAAACCTACAGGTTATAAGACTGGGACGGATCAGGACTGGACTTTTTCATCCCTAGTTAAGGTAGAGGCCTGCACAGGCCGGACCGAAATTCAATAATTTCAAAAACTTCGGGCCAGATGTGTCAGACATAGTAAAATGTGGACCAAACTTTTCCAAAAACGTAATAAATTTTATTTTATGGACCGTGCGGGTCGGTAAAAGCACAATTTTTTAGGCTCATGCAGACCCCTACTAGGGATTGGAATCGGCTTAGTCGACTAATTAGTCGACTAAACATAGTATATAGTTTATTATACAGATTTTTTGGTCGACTAAATCGATTCCAATCCCTAGCCGCTACTCCAGAGTATAGGAGTAATTGTTTCGCCTTGATCCATCTAGAACACCGTATAGTTCTGTATTTTCTAAGTTGGTGATGACGGTGTTGGTGGAACCTTTGAAAAGATTGATTAAATGGGAGGTGTACTGAATCATAAGCTTTGTTCATGTCTTATGATACGAGCATCCATATTTTTCTTTTGCTGTGTTTGTGCATCCTCTATTAATTGTGTAAGTATTGAGATTGGTAAAGATCTTGATGTATAAGGTAACATGACGTGGTTGTTGGGTTAAGTATAGGGCAGTTAGCAAGACCTGATTAAGTCTGTGAAGATTTTTTGTGATTTTCCGCATGTGTTCAATTAGGGTGGTAGGTCTTGTTTGGTTAAGTTGTCTAGCGAAGATTGTTTTCTTAGATATTGGGTAGATTGTGCTGAGTTTCTATTGTGTATAAATGCTTTAGTTAAAATTGAGGGCTTTTTCATTAAGGTGTTTGAGCATCTGATTTAAAATATTTTACCAGTCTGTAAGACTAAAAATTCGCTATAAAAATTGGGCTTGCAATAAGGTTAGAGTTAGAAGATTTTGTTAATATGTAGAAGTTGGTTTATAGATAAATTTTTTTTAAAGCTACAAACTACTTTTTTTGCGTTTTTGGGGTTACACGTGATCTTGAAATCAGCGAAATCTTTTAGATGATCTAACTGCTATTCCATGACAATAGTCGTGAAAATGTCTCATAATCAACTTTATGCTAAAAGACTCTTAATCATCGACTGGTTTCATTTTAATGAGATTTATAATCTCCATAAAGTGAACGAAGTCACGGGGCAGTCATTTGTTACGAGATCACACGATCCTAATCCATGGCGTTAGTATTCGATTAGTAATTGTTAGTAAGAAAGTATGATTGATTAAGTGATGGTAAGAATGAGGTCATTATTTGTAATAAGAAAGTAAAATTGATTGATTAAGTGATGGTAAGTATACGTAAGGTTATAGAAAATGACTATTTAAGTGAAGCAGGGGTGGAAATTAGTTTTTTCTTCTTTGTCTTCGCTGCTAGCTCGACGCAAGTCTAGTTTTGTCGTTAGAACCCACCCTCACACCACTGAGATAGGAAGAAAAGGGGCGAAAGGTGGGTTTTGATAGCCCGAGTAAACAACTCGGATATCAGAAAGGGAAACGTGATAGCCCGGGTGAACAACTCGGATATCAAAGTGAGATATCGAAAAAAAAAAGTGTGTCGATGCTACGGGACCGGCTGTGCAGCAAGGCGAAATCCCATATTGTGTACTTCGTAGTAGAGCCTTTAGTTGTTGCTAGTGATCGAGTGACAAATATACAGTATGATAGTATAAATTTATTTAGGCTGCTAGTAGAGCTTGGATCCTACTACGTGACAATTTCGGCATAAAAATTTTCAACATTCTAAAATATTTTCAGCACCCGAAATTATTTGTTATCTATGGCAAGTACAAAATAATTTAGGTTCAAATGTATAATTGTTAGATAAACCTGGAGGTTTTGCGCTGATAAAATGCGAAACTTAGACTCGCCTTTCATTAATCGAAACCTCAAATGACCAAAGAAGTAGATGACAAAACTGATTTGACTAATGAAAGATGGTAAACTTTGAAGTTGGAAAGTTGGCGAATAATATGTCGTGAGTCAAATTCGAAAATATATAGATGTAAAATTGAAATTCAATTTTTGAAATGTGTCAAGCCAGTACATGCGTCAGAAATGTGTATAACGATTCATGTATTTGATACCGAATTAAACAATTGAGTATTTATAAAATCCTTTATGTCAAGACGCCTAGAATCCGGAAATAAGAAACGCGCTAATTGATCAAAATTCAATTCTTTTTTATTCTATTAATACTACATTATGTACATCTACTTTTCGTTATTCCTTTAAAGAAGCGACGCTGAAGTATACTCATGGGAAACAATGTATCTGTAAAAAGAACTGTAATACCAATATCATAAACCCATTCTAATTTGTACAGCAATTCCATTATTCATAATCGTAATGTCAGCGATAGGCAAAACTAGCATACATTCCACAATCATATGACTGCGTGGAGTGCAAGGTGACCTCATCCAGGACCAAATTAGCGAATTATAGATGCTCCCCAATCCTTTGATTTTCTTAACTTCGCACGAGATATGAGGTCATATGATACAATTTGTGTGAAAATGATATCATTGCATCTCTTAATTTAGACTTCATGCAAATATTATTACTATTCATTATAGATCTCTTTTCAAAATCAAATATCAGCGAATGATGATATTTTCTTTTAAACTTTATTCGGATTAAGTCTATGTTACTAAAGAGTATTTTCATAATTCTCAAAAGTAAGCAATTGCACAAAGATAGAATGCTAGAAGGATATATGCAAGATTACAAAAAAACTAAAATAACGTTAATAACGTTAAGAGAATTCTTTTTTAGACACAATTACCATAAATTGTCTTTTCAATGAACATATATATTAATTTTAAAGTTTCTAGACAAATTTCTACAACTATTACGAAAATTTTGTTCATGTTTTTTTCTGCTTAGACGATTGAGCAACCCAATTCATATATTCAACTTTTATAATGTTCGGAATATGTGAACTGTCTCGCAAGTAAAAGAATTTCGCAAGAGGAGATTCAACAATTAATTTGAATACACCGAAAGAGCGTAAAATACTTTCTGTCAGGATGAACCACGTCAAAGCAAAACCCACACCAAAAATGTTGCCAACTAAAACTTGTTTTGATGTATGGTAGACAAGATATATTCTAAGGAAAGCAATTGTTTAGATAAGTGAATCTATCATTTGAAGGAATAAAGATTAAAAATAATACCTAGAATAAGAAACAGTAAAAGATAATATTATCAAGCTCAAAGCTATTGGAAATTTCCATAAATTTTGATCGAAAGTAATCCTAAGAAATAAAATGATTCATAAAATGATACAAAAAAAAAAAAAATAGTAACTGTTTTAAGTATAAATACCTAGTATACAAGTATAAAATTGCAAAGGTTGCAAAATAAGCAATAAATTGGGCATGTGAAGAGGGCATCCCATATCCATCCCCAAGTTTATCTACCAAGTTGACCATTTAGATTCAGTTTTTACATCAGTTCAAGAAAGAAAAATGCATAAAAACTTTTTTTTTTGGAATACCAGTAGGTCTTTTCTCCTTTAGCAATTTCTTCAACACAGCGTTCAAAATTTCGCAAGCGAGTTGGCCAATAAACATATTGATTGAAGCCATCTCCCTTCGAGCGACAATAATAGTAGGATATGCTACTAGAATAGCTAAAGGAGACAGGGTTATATATGCCAAAGCATAAGCAATAGGATCGGATGAATCAAATTCTACATTTGTTAGGGAAAGAGAAATCAAAGGTCGAATTTCACTAGATGACATGACTATTACCAGTGATTGGCATACATAGAGAAGTCTGATATAGTTACGTACGTACGTACAGCAACCTTGTACCACAATATTTGACTATAAGTATAAAATTTTCAATTTAAATTATTTTTTTTTCTGTAATAATAATGCGAATATCAGATATGCAGTCTCTGACAACTACATATTCACAATATATCAATTATTATCAAAATTACGCTTGTAGTACTATAATCTACGATCATTTTCAACTTAATAATCATTCTAACTTTGACATAATTTTTGAACCAGAACGTGTACGTATTGTTCAATTGAATATATTTGGAATACATAATCTGCACTTGTTTAACATTTATTTTATCAGACAATAATTAAAGAAACAAACCTTCCAACATCGTCCAATACTACCAATCAAAAAACTTTAATTATAGAGATATACCATCCAAAAACAAATCTTACTAGTAATTCTTTTTCAATATCCAATAATAATGTTGTGATTTTACTAAGGAAACATGAAGAAAGTTTAGAATGGTCGTCGTTAAAGTTTAAATACTATCTAGATGGGGATGAAATGAATGGAGAAGAAGAAGAAAAATGGTTCCTCACAAATGAAAATGTAAGAAAATGCTCGGAACTTGTAGAAAGACAATCGAATTGGGTAAAATGTTATATTTTTTTTTATCATTTTATGCGCACTCAACTTTAATAAATCTTTAAATTGACATGTTTTATATCATCTAACCTTCTCTACTTTGCAACATGTTGATTGATTGATCAAAAACAGTCTAAAGCTTCATTATCGCCTGAAATAGTGTCAACACAAGCTATAAGAGATAAAGATGGATTGATTTTACGAATTAAAAGTAAGCAACAACCTTCTTCAATTGCTAGCGAATCATCAATTTGTGGCAATATAGTGAATCAAATGAAAAATATCGATCTGCAAGATCAAACATAGATCAAATTTCAATGTCGTTCGAAAATGTCGTGTTTGTTTTTAAAAAATGCTGCTGGGATTCTTTAAATAGATATGCTAAAAACCCATAAAAAAATATTTTTTTACATTATTAAAAACATGACAAAAAATTGAAATATAAGAGAATATATATAACAAACAACACCCAAGGTGATTCACCAGATTATTTACGAGCACCTTCCAATGAGTTAAAAAATAAACATCGTATATTACTAACTAAAAGCAATCAAAATGTTGCAACAAAAAAAATGTGAATTTTTTTCGAGCCAAAATAAAGGTGTTATTATATTTGGCACCAATTTTATTAGTGTTCGGGGTTGCTTATAATCGATAACATACGGTACTACTAAATTTATAAGAGAAATACACGTCATTCTGGTTATATCGACATCTGGATATACCATGACATTTTTTAAAATTCTGATCCTATATATTTAATATAAAATGTCCGATTAAACTGACATATGGATATATCAGACAATTTTTTATTTTTAAGATGTCGATATAACCAGAGTGTCGTGTAGTTCATACATCGCGTCTGCGATATTGTCGCATTTGCATAAATAGGCGTAGCGTGAAATCAAACCTAATAAAAATAAATCGTTGCTTTGAACTGTAGTTAAGATAAGGGATCATCGTTGATACCTCAGACTTTTTCAATACGTATTCGCGCGTAATAACGCAATTTTGAATTTTGGCCTAAATTAGGCCATTATTCGAAATAACGCCCATGTGCGTTATTACGCGCAAATATGGTACGCCTTTTTTTTGATCAATTTATTCTTCTAATTTCTCTGACCGTTTTTTTTTCATCAGTCAGACATTTAGTGAGAACCTCGATTTGGTAATCCTTATCTTTCATAGCGGCTTCAATTTTTTCAACCCGCCGAGTGAGATTATCGATTATATAGTCCTTTTGTCGAAGTTGTCCTAATAGGTCATGTGGCACATGGTTTTCACTCATCTCAAAACTGACTTTTTGTGAAGTATCTGGGCGTATGTTGAGAGATTCATTTAGTGAATATTTTCACTAGATTCAGCTACGTGATTAGTGGAAGCTACTTGGATTCCTTATTTAAGCTCTTCAATCATTTTATTCTAACGATCATACTTTGTTGTCCAACCAGTTCGTCTATTGTTCTCTTTTGAGCCTTGACCTGAATTTCTATGCGTTCAATCTCACTACGTTTCCTTCTACAATCTTTTTCACTTTTTTTTAAGACATATTCGAGTTCTTCTATTAATCTGTTTTTACCTCTGATTTGTTCCTCATACATTTTTTCATAGTAACCAACTTTGTAATTTCATTTTCAATCTCCATTATGCAAGATGAATCCGTAGAATCGGAATCCAGCTCTTTTTCACTATTTTGTCCATCGCTTCTAGCTTCGTCTGAAAGCTGATCTAAAATCCTATTTGGACTAAGTCTTAATTTTCTTTTTTGGCTTTTTTTCCACGTTAGATTTGGGTGGATGAAATTGACATTCTTCACTATCATAGTCCATTTAATTTAAAAAAAAAAACTTCAATCTTAATAATATTACACATTGAGGACGGCGTGAAAGTGATTATTTTATGGCTAAATAATATGTAAGCCAAATGCTTGTCGCACTCTCCATCACTTACTTCTGCCTGATCGATTGCTTTTCGACATTTCTACGTATATTTATTATTATAACTAAATTGATCATTTGAAAGGATTTACCCAAAAATTCAAATCATCACTGCACTAGCGTTATCACTAAAATAATTTGAACTTGACATGATATTGCTTGAATCATTTAAACTAGACATGATATTTATTTAATTCCGTCTAATTTTTATCCATTTAATAGCAAAGAAATAAGTGGAAATAGAATAAAATAAAAGACTTAATCCTTATCCGCAATTTATTGAAAAAATTAAGTTGGTGCTATCAGTTAACTTTCGAATAAATCGTTTTTTTATCTTTAGAATGAAGGAAAATACTTATTACCCAAAAAAGAAAGTTAAGATTTTTGAATTAATACTTTAGAGTTCAAAAGTTAGAGAATAAGAATATAGTCGACTTTTATAAATAAATTTCATTCTTAATTATCTTTCTGGCGTGGATTTTCAATATTTGTAGCAAGAGTTGGGTTGACCAGTCTGGTCAAATTGGTCAAATACTTTGACCAATCAAAATAGAGCTAATTATATAAATTTTTATTAAACAACCCTTTTTTTTTGTTCTAAGTTGTAAAGCAGGTTGTTATGATTCTAATAGTGGTTAAACCATCAGGTAAAATTAATCTAATAGATCACAAAATCAAATTCTTGAGTCCAAAATCGTGGGGGTAGCTTTTATTCAGTAACATACGGTAAATATATAAACCGTTATATATATTTAAAATACATACCGAAAATGCGTACAAGGTTGGCGGCGCAGACAAAATTCGTTAAAGTTAGGTTAGGGCCGGGTTAGGATCTAGTGAGGGATAGTCTATATAGTAAAATTGTCCAACGAACCTTTTTGTTAGAGCACAAAAAGTGCTGATTTTTGAGCTATATGCAATTTTTGGCAGAACGAGCATGATGGAAGTTTATTTTAATTGGACAATATTTGTATGATCCGGTTCCGATCAATTCACCAACAGTCACTTCTCATTTGCCGACATCACATAGGGTTAGAGTTAAGCATTTGATAAGTTACAGGTATATATTTTTACTAAATTTCACCTGGCGTGATGTCGGTTAAAAGTGATTATTTGCTACATACTACTTCTAATAATATCCGCTACTTATATTACGACTTACGTCAATACTACAAAAGTTGCAACTTTAGTAGTGAAAGTTGACTCAAAATGTCTACACCTCTACGTGCCATTCACCCTACCTTGATCAAATCGATGCACAAATAATCCTGGGCGTGAAATCAAAATTTCGAAAATTACGCAAAATTACTGTAATTTTAAACCCTAAATATGCTATCTAGTTTTGTCGAAATTAGATTCCCGTACGTTAATTCTGAAACCCCTTAATGAACAATGTTATTATAAAATAAACATTACATTCTCAAAATACTACAGTAAATAAGTTACTTGACGATTTATTCAATCAATAAAGATCCAACATTAGCTTGCGAAACCTTCAACAATGTGTATTTTTTACACGGTCTACGTGTCGAATTATCACTAATAAAAATTTAGAATCAAAAAAAAAAAAAAAAAAAAAAAAAAAAAAAAATAAACTTCAAAACAAGGAGACTAAAGCATTTTTAAACAAAAAAA